CATCTCTGTTCAGACAGCTACCTGGCGGGCAGCAGCACGTGGCTGACAGCTACGCGATGGGCTGCACAGCTCGGAAGTTCAGTGTGCAGCCGCTCCTTCACAACTCAAGTTTTAGTCAGCAGTGGTGTGCGTGCGTGTGCGTGTGCGTGTGTGTGTGTGTGTGTGTGTGTGTGTGTAATTGTTAAATCCCTCTCCATCTTCCCCCTTCTTCTGTGAGTCCTGGTAGACCAAGAACATCTAATTAAGCATGGCTGAATTCCCTGTTTCTCTGATTTCTTTCCTCACTTCTAGATCTTGTATAATTTCCAAAATGCCTTCAGCCCTTCTCTCTTCCTCTGTCTCAGTAGACTCTTTACTTTCTCCCCAAGCAACATGTTCTTTTTTACTAATCTAACACCTAAAGATTGATTCATGTATTGATCATACTACACTTGGGCTTCCTGATACATTAACCTGTTGGTACCAAAACTGTGTTCCAACCACTGGGTTTTAAAATCCAAGACTCATTATCTTTATCAGTTAGTGAATATTGATTAGAGACCCACTCTAGTTCCATTTTAGAAGAGAAGCATTTCAAATACGTAGTATGTAGGTATGTACATATGTATGTTTTTTGTTGTTGAATAAATTGAGCGGGATGTTGGACACCTGTAATCCTAGCACTCTGGAAGCAGAGGCAGGAGGATCACAAATTTGAACTTATCTTGGGCAACTTAGCAACTCTGTGAGACACTCAAAATGTGAAAAATTAAAAAGCTGGAGGGGTGGGCATGTAGTTTAGTGTGAAGGCCCTGGATTCAACTGTTAGTACAAAAACAAAAACAGAAACACCAAAAAATGTGTATCTCAACTCAAAAAAAATTGTGATGCCACATAACAAAGACCATTAAGACTCACAGTCTAGAAAGTGTCTGTCAATCTATCTTCTACAAAATAGTTACAAAACTTGAGCCCTTTGGAGAGTTGCGTGTGAGGAAGAGGAAGGGAAATGGGAGCCTATGTGTTTGCCCAAGATAAAGCATCTTGGGAAGGGGAAGGGTGGATTTTTGCTCTCATTTGGAGACGTCAGTTCACAGTTGCGTTGCCCTGACCCCTTGGCAAGGCATTGCGTCCTGGAAACGAGCACGCTGACAATCAGAGCCGCTCCATGTGACAGTGGGAGAGAAAGGAGGAAGGGGCCAGGGTCCCCAGGGTCAATGGTCACCCACCTGGGACCAAGCCTTTAACTCGTGCGCATTTGGGGGACATTGAAGTTCCAAGTTACCACAGTGCACAAGGGGAAAACATGCCTTTCCAAATCCTTAAAAAGAAGGATTAATGTCCAGATCCTTTACTCTTCAGTGTTTTTGTAGTTCATTGTTCATTCGTTCTTTCTTCCTCTCTTTCTCTTTTCTTTTTAAAGAGGTTTTTGCTTCGTTTTTGTGGTGCCGGGAATCAAATACATGCAGGGCAGGTGTTCTGGCGCTGGCTGCTTCCTGAGCCTCATTCATGATTCTTAAGCCTTCTTGCACATCAGAATCCCTGGGAAGTGTTTGTGGGGAAAAAAAGGCCAGCACTCGGGCCACGTAATAGGCAAATTAGGTAACAGTGTTTGAATCGCACTTCAGGCATAAACCTGCTGTCAAGACCCGAGGTCAGCTTTGCTACTTGGCTCTGTATTTTGACCCATTTTTGGAATAAGCTACCCCCTGTAATAAAGACTCACTATTTTAGAGGTTAATATCTTCTTTCATTTACCAGTTCTAGGAAAGTTACAGTCAACCAGCTATTGAGGGGCACAGCTAAGACTAGGCCCCTTTCCGAAGGCAGGAATGCAAGTTATCTAGCCCAGAAGACAGAGCAGTGAGCTAGCACCACTTTCCTCCAACCAACAACGGGAACCAGGAGCCCCACACAGAAAATCAGCATACATTAGAGCCGACTAGGAGCGGACAGAGCTGAGGTCCTACGGATAAGCGAGGGTGAATCAGAAATCGTTCAGTACCAACACATAATAAGGGCTCTCAAGTTCAGGGGGCATGAGAATCGGCTGGGGGCTTAGAGAAGGTCCTTCTGGGTCCTGTCCCAGAGAGTCGGGCTGGCTATTCCAAGGGAGGTCTGAGAAGGTCCAAGTTAATTTGGATGTAAAATGATTTGAGGACATCGGATGACCATTGTATTCACTCATTTAGGACACAGAAGCACTGTGGGCTTCCAGAGGCTGGCTCTCTGACCTCTGGAAAGTGAAGGTAGGGGGTTGGTTATTGGTCTATGTCTACCAGCAACGGTAGGTCCGAACATGGGATGGACAGGGGAGAGTAATGTAAGAGGTCACTCTGGCAAGACTGAATTTAGAATTCACAATTTAAACATTGATAGCAGCCAGAATGGGTCCTATTCACGTCTGGCTTCCGGTGTAATTATCTGGGGTAAAGAAGGATTTTTATACACTCTCCCGATGGTCCAGCTCTGGAACATTCATGCAACAAGCACAGCAGTACTATTCGTGTATTTTACTGGTTTGAGTAAACTATCCATGTTCATCTAGGTAACACCAAAGACACCAAGGTCTATGCAGTCACTGAATCCATGTTGTACTGTGTAGTGGGAGCAGGATAATATGGTATAGATTGTGATCTTTGGGGAATAGATACATGGCTGATTTCGCAGTCCTATTCTAAGCAAAACAAATTCTTTACTTTCTCTGAATTTCAGTTTTCTCATTCATAAAATGTAGGTGATAGTACCTTTGTCTCGGAGCTGTTACATGAGATAATTTTTAAAATACGCCTGGCATGTACTGGATGAGTAAACGGACCACCTTGATGATAAGTAGAGAACAGCACTTTAGAAGATGGGGACTTAGCATATGGAACACGTACTGAAGTTGGGATCTGATTCTAATTAATGACTAGAATATTGATGGAATTTTGAGCTGGTGGGTTGCCTAGCAACCAAAACTAACTGGATACCAGTGGCTATCGAAGTTGTTGTTTTTCATCAAAGCAGTAATTAAACTGCTCTTAAGAAGCTCAAGGTTGTAAGCAGACAAAAAGATTCCTCTGTACATTTGGGGTTATGCCAAACATTTTGAAAAAAAATGATTCCCCAAGTTCTCAGTGTGTATGTGCTGAAATATCTCAGAGGTAGGGATTCACCTCACTTCTGTGCCCCGAGGGACAAAAGATGTTAGTGCCTCCCACATGGGCGGTAGGGGGCTGGGGAAGGCAGAGTGCTTATTACAGTTCAATCCCCATGTTCACTCAGCCAGCATTCACTGAGTGCCAGGGTCGGACACACAGGGTCATCTGTCTTCACGCCCTTACTGCTCTTTAGAATTTCAGCATCCAAGAGAGGAATCCATCCATGTTAAACAGTAATATAGCAAATTATCTCCAGAGTGGCTGCCTCCTGCTGTATTCTAAGTCTTATGCATGGAGCAGTACAAGGAGGTAGAGCAGCTTTTAAATACCTGCTGCTGAGATTTGTATTTTCCTGGTACACCAGTCCTGAAGGAAGAGCCTACGTGGCTTTCCCAGGAGACTCCGACAGCTTGGTTACAGCATTGAGGGCAGCCTTGCCCAGCGCTGGCGAGGGCTGAGGCTGGGCAGAGGGACCAGAGCTTCCAATCAGCTGGATGCGACTTGTATCAATTCACCTCAGTCCAGGGACTTCACTACCTGCATCCGGCTTTTCTCATTTGCAAGCTGAGCGTGATGACTTAGATTCTGCTTCCTGTGGGTGATGCGTAGGGACAGTGAGGCGATGACCATAAAGGTTCTGAGCACATAAGTGTAGTTTCTGAGCTAGCCATCAATTAATTATATTGCTTTTCACTGAACATGTTTGTGTCTTCTTTTACATTTTCTGTTACTTTCTAACTCACAGTCTTACAATTTAAAAAGAGAAAAAAGCCAGCGTGGTCTGGAAGCCGATGTTTCAGTTTGCACTGAATTTTGTCTCCACCATTTGGAGCTCATTCTGCTAACTTCTTTTGCAGGAAGATCAGCTTTATTGCTGTGGGAAGAGAGGCGTTGTGCCCCTGTGGCATTTCAGCACATATTTACACACAAACGTGACTTAAGGCCTGAAGGGCCTTCAGGCGGGCAGTTGGTGGATGAATCATCTTCACCATCCCTACAGCGCCGCTGGCACTTGCCGGAGGACTGCGCGTGCCCCTCACCTGCCCCTGTCAGTTCTCCCTCTTCTAATAAAGTACGTTTGTTTTGGTGATGGAATAAAAATACACCAAGTGCAGAAGGGCCGGGTGTGGAGTAATATGATCAGGGCAAGTCAGCACGCTGGAGCTGTACAGTGTTAAGGACAGAAAGACCGTTTGGTGGCAGCTTAAAGAGTCACAAGCAGACTGGGAAGGGCCCAGCCGCAAGCCAGCTTCTCCTACATCTTCAGGAACGCAGGGCCCCGTGTGTCCCGCTGATCAAGAGTCCTAAGAGGCCAAGATGCCCTAAGTTCCCTTCCGAATTCCCACAAATGTTTTGCCTATTAACTGCATTTTAACATTTTACTGAGGATTATAAATTTTTAAATAAGTTCAAACCAAAGTTCAGAGCTCTACTAGCAATTCTTTTGAATATTGCCTCTGTACAGGATCGCAAGAACTGACTGATTTTAAATTATGCTGCTTTTAAAAGTAAACAGCAGGGTGACTGACATTTGCAGATTGGCATTTCATCATCCTTACTACTCGTGGCATTTTAAATTTTTTTCTTTGTTGTGACAATCTGATAGTGTAGGACTTTGTATTTGTTTAGGAGAGCAAAAATGGAGCATGCGCAGGATATCAGTCTGCGCTGAATCTCAATATTTCTCAGGCGGGGGGGCAAGAGGATAATCAGAGATCTGCGTAATACTTGAAATGTATTTGGAAACGTACAAACACCAGTGTGACTGTAAGTGGTGGGGCTAAGTAATTTTTTTCTCCTCTCTTTCCGTCTTCCTTTTCATTCTGATCATCTCGTCGGTGTTCTTATGGTCATTTCTTGATGGAAAAAAAGAATCACCACCCAAGAAGAAAAGCCAGAAGCTTCCATGGCCGCAGCTTCATTTCTAGTTCGATGAGTGATTTCATTGTGCCTCTTTTAATTCAGCCAGCTCATTTTCACCTCTGTGTGGGTACTGTTTTTATTTCAATGAGACAGGATCTATGATATCCAATACTTTATTAACAGGTGTTCGGGGAATAAGCTGTGTCCAAATAAAATACTAAATATAGCATGCGAATTCAAGGTTTTTGAAGGTTACTGTGGTTTTAAAAAGTAAACTTAATGAGCCTTTTCAGTGTAACCTTTCACTGTTAGGAAGGGCGGTGGTAAATGCTACGTGTGTCCTGCAGCTCTGTGGTCAGGGCTTTTTCTCTCCTGACTCAGATCGCGTGTGAGCCTTTTTACCGTGTGGCTGAAAGGGCAGAGAGCCATGTGCAGAGGAGGCGTCAGTAACCTTTTTGACCCTGGATTAAATACCTTTCTGAGTAGCTGATTAGCATTTAGTTATAAGGATGTAACCTTTAGCCTGGAATAATTACTAATGCTGCAAAATTATGTTCTATTTATTTTTCAAGTCTTTTAACTCTATTAGACACCCCCTAGTATATCATGTGTCTTTGAAGTCTGACTCTGACTTATGTGATGCTTACATTTGTTGACTTATTAGAGCTTCGACTACTGAGTTTAAAACATCTTTCACGTTGAGATGCAGCTCAGAAGCGCCAAGTACAAAACGTCACTCTGTGACTGGCCACTGTGTGCCTCATGTAAGTGACTCGGTCTCGCTGAGCCTCAAGGCTTTGTGTGTACAGCGTGAAAACATGGCTTCAGCTAGTTGCTCTCAGTTAGGCCATGGAAGCTTATAGACTCATCCCTCAGGGATCAGGAGGAACTCGTTGGAAATTCAGATGCTTGGATCTGCACTGGGCGTGAAGCTGCCGTTTCAGTGACTTTCCAAGTGGGTCTGGGACACGGAACACTGTCATAGAGGCCAGCTGGTTACGGAGTGCTGAGCTACCCTGAAAAATAGGTAGTTAGCTAATCCTAATAAAATGCGTTTCTAGGATAGAAATTTAATTAACACTCAGCAGCACTGGTACTTAAAATATTCTCACTCCATAGAAAATAGGAGGTCATTTTGCATAAGCGAGCTGTTGATTCATGAAATAGTCGTTCTTACTATTTTGGTTTGATTGGATCATTTATCCTTTTTGTCTCTTGCACAGGAAATAGCAGAATATTTGTGGACTAGGTCTAAATTGGGAGCCTGGATGAATGAACTTGAAACTAGCGTGGAATTCTTAGTTTTTCAAGACTCCTACCCACTGAATCTTTGGGGCGAAACTGGCAATGGAAAGCAAAAGCCTTAATTACTTGCTTCTAAAGTAACATCTGAAGTCATTGGAAGACGAACACACGGTAGCACAGCCATGGAAAGGAATTCAAGCTTATGGAGGAACCTACTCGATGAGCACCCGGTGTGCACAGCCTGGAAGCCAGCGGCAGAAGGAGCCATTTACCATCTTGCTAGTATTTTATTCGTAGTGGGTCTCATGGGTGGCAGTGGATTCTTCGGGCTCCTGTATGTCTTCAGTTTGCTGGGACTGGGTTTCCTGTGCTCTGCAGTGTGGGCATGGGTGGATATCTGTGCCGCTGACATATTTTCCTGGAATTTTGTACTGTTTGTCATCTGCTTCATGCAGTTTGTTCATATTGCATATCAAGTTCACAGCATAACCTTTGCCCGAGAATTCCAGGTGCTGTACAGCGCCCTTTTCCAGCCCCTGGGGATCTCTTTGCCAGTCTTCAGAACGATTGCTCTGAGCTCTGAAGTGGTCACCCTGGAAAGGGAGCACTGTTACGCCATGCAGGGCAAAACCTCCATTGATAAGCTCTCCCTGCTCATCTCAGGAAGGTCCGTACCCCTGGCGCTTACGGTGTCTTGCCTCCACTTAATTCTCTGTGTTTCTTTACTAGGCCCCCGTCTAAGTAGAGCACGTTCCTGGGTGGCATTTGTACCCTTGGGAAAGTCTCTGAGACAGATATCATGAATTTAGAGTATAAAATTATTTACTTGAAGTAGAAAGTAATTTCAAGCCTTACTTTTTTTGTCTTAGAAATTAAATGATGTGGAACTTGAAAGTATGAATTTATCTGGATATGACAGCTAATCACTGAAAGTCAAGAAAAGTATGATGCTAGCTTCAATTAAAAAGATACTTAGGCTGATATGCAGAGTATTTTATTTAGTTATTTAATGTCTTTTTGAGACAGGGTCTTGCTGTGCAGTTCAGCCTGGCCTTGGGCTCATTTTGTAGCCCAGGCTGGTCTCAGACTTGCAGTGATCCTCCTGCCTCAGCTTTCCTCCTGCTGGGATTATGAGAGTGTGCAACCATGTTCGGCTATGCAGACTATTTTAAATAGACGGCTTGTATAGGGCATCCTTGTATCAGAACTTTCAATGTTATAATTATCAAGGTATTTAGTATGTTTTAGCATTTGTCCATTTATTGGAAGTAGGAAGGAGACCCTCCAGAATGAATATTTGTATATATGAGGAAACAATATATTCATGTTTTTTAGAAATTAAATCTCTAGTTTACATAGCAGATCTCCTGTATGGTCTTAAATGTTCTCTTACTTAATTTAAAAGTCTTGACTGAATGCATTAAAACTTTTATAGAAGTATAATATAAGTGGACACATGTCATAAATGCACGACTTGAATTTTCTGGTGAGTTTCACTGAATAGTGCGGATTCCTCTGTGAGGGCTGTGAATCTCATGGGGTGTTGTGCCACTTACTGTCAGGTATGAATGTAATATTTCGCCTTTCAAAATTCTAAAGGGCAGAAAGGCCATGAGAGACCTGCAGGACGCTTCCCTTCCCATGACCCCACCCCATCGTGTGCTCTCTCTCCTTCATGAATGCTGTTCTTGTATTTTGATAGGATCAGAGTGACGGTCGATGGTGAATTTCTGCACTACATTTTCCCCTTCCAGTTTTTGGATTCTCCTGAGTGGGATTCACTGAGACCCACGGAAGAAGGCATTTTTCAGGTGAGAAATAACTGGATCCCCCAGTTGATGCCGCCTCCTGCTAACCCATAAACAGACAAGTAGATCTGCAGATAACAGCAGAGTAATTTACATTTAACTTTGGGGTGTACTTAGAAACGTACATGACTGGCAAATTGTGTTTGACTCCTTTAGAATAATGCCATTTTTTAGAGTCTACAGTAAGGAAAACAAATATTGTGCCATGACCAAAATATACAGTGAACGTTTAAATTTTTCAGATGTATTACATTAAAAGACTCATTGCCACTCAGGCCCCTGAAAATACTCTCCTACCTGTGGCTCTTCCCCAAAGTCAAAATGAATGTCCATGAGCGATAAACTCATGAATCGAATGGATTCAAGTATCAGGGAAACCAGGACAGCACAACTGAAGACTATAATAAATTTTTTTTGTAGCAAAGTTATTAATTATTTAGATTAAATTGAAAGTAATTGACTAGCTTTTCTCCTTCAGTTTTACATTCAGTAGACTGAATCTACATGCCTATCTCTCACGATCTGTTAAACAAAAATTAAAATATTTTGAAATTTAAATGTCACCTTATTTTTGATCATACCTCTTATGCATTAAGAAAGAACCTGTGGTAAATATCATTTAGCTCTTTTTTGTGTAATGATATATTGAATTAAAATATTATCACTGATATTTGGCTATAAATTAAACACTGCTAATATGGAGGTTTAGAAAATACCAGAACAAAAAACTACACTTACTACAAAATGTATGATTTTTATATTTAATATAATGATGTATTTCAGTTCTCTCCTTTACTCTTATTTTATTTTTCTTTTTTTCCTTTTTTTTTTTTCCTTTTTTTTTTGAGACAGGGTCTTGCTAGATAGTTCAGGCTGGCCTTGAACTCACTGTGCAGTCAGAGCAGCCTTGAACTGGAGGAGATCCTCTTGCCTCAGCTTTCTGAGTGCTGGGATTACAGGTGTGCACCACCACTCCTAGCTCTGTTATTCTCTAGCAATAGAATGCTACACTGATGTTACTACTGTGCTGTCATATCTAATTTTGAAAGATAATTGTTTCAGTAGGTTCTGTTTGGCATGCTAAACTGTTTTCCTATGAATTAATGCACATATATACATTCACAGATACAAATTCATAGATAGATGCAAAATAGACATATAAATTCTATTTTATAATAAAGAAACTGAATTAGGATTAAATGTCTAAAATCTCAGAACTGACTTGTATATATTTTTCTAATATTAGCCAACTTACGTTTTTAATATCAAGTACCCAAACATAAAAACAAGTAAGCTGGAAAGAGGCACAATATTATGATGTGATAATCATTTCTTTTTTGGTGTGCAAATAGCTTGTTGGACCCCGGGAAGCACTGGTCGGGAAGCGGGGTGTGAAACAGAAGGAGGGGAGGGGAATGGAGGGAGGATCTGTCGTCCAGTAAACTGCCTGTGCGGCCAGTGGGAGGGGAGTCCCGGCAGGGACCTCGGTGTCATGATTATTACAAATTATATGGGGAGTCATAAAGCTATGTCATTTTTAATATGTATTATAAGTTACATATGTAGTAATAAACTGTCATTTCTTTTCTGTTGCTGTGTTACACTCTATTCTGGTTCAGTGGGATTTTAATCTAAAAAAGACAGCAAATGAAACTCATTTCCACCTTGGGGCAGAAAAAACGTGGCTGGCTTTCTTGCTTACTAATCTCCGTTTCCATGTGGCCTTCTGCTTCTCAGGTCACCCTCACAGCAGAGACTGATTGCCGGTATGTGTCCTGGAGGAGAAAGAAATTATATTTGCTCTTCGCTCAGCACCGTTACATCTCCCGTCTGTTTTCCGTTTTAATTGGCAGCGACATAGCGGATAAACTGTATGCCTTGAATGATAGGATATATTTTGGGAAAAAGTATCACTACGACATTCGATTGCCCAATTACTATCACATGTCAAGTCCAGAAATGCCCAGATCACCCCTGACAGAACCATTTTGGAATTCCAGGCAATATTGTAATAAATGACATCAAAATCAGGAGTTTTATTACTATTATGAAAAGACTCTTAATCATTCCCTGAAAGATATAGCAAAATACAGAAGCCTGTGATGGCTAGTATTTTTATAAATCAGATTGAGCGGCAAGATGCCAAAGCCAGATGCTTTATTCATCCCAACCTCTGCTTTGCGAATAAATTTTACACATTGTCCCTCTATTCTTGGTGTTATAACTGGGGGGAGGGTGAGTCGCTGGGCAGTTTGCTGTTTGCTGCCACAGAACTGGGAGGATGAAGTCGCCCATTCCCAGATATTTGCTGAGATTTTCTCAGATGTATACCTGCTCGGTGGACTTGGCATTTGTTCTCAGCGTGAGAGGGGAATGTTAGGGTTTTTGTAAGCATTTCCAGAGCTCAGTTTTTTTGCTACAACCTCTGAGGAAGACACAATGCATAACTGTGGTAGCTTGCAATTTATTTTTACATGTGAAGTTACTTGATATGACTAAAATGTAGAATAAATGCGAGAGATAATACGCTAATCTTGAAGACTATTTTCTTGGTTGTAAGTTCTAATAATTTTTATAACAGTAATTTTTATAATGGCATTTAAAAAGTGACATTACATGGAACTATATAATTAAAAAGAATGCCCATGAACAAGCAGTAAAAGTTCTGCATTATATATCCATTTGGTAGGAGCTGTTAAAAGAGCAAAGGTTGAGGTTTGAGCAGACAAGGAAGAGCTCACGATGAGTACTCAGTCACCACGCACCCACACCCACACTGTGTTTATCCATTCCAATAGCCTAAAGAAAAGCTGAACAAAGAGACATCATTAGTTGTAAATGTGACCCCTGTCTTTGGTTTTCTGAAGAGTTCCACGGGTAGTCTGTGCTCTTTAGTAGAAAGATACACATTCAGCAAATGGTTATTGAGCTCCTTCTGTGACTGCAGGTGATGGCCTGGGAGCTGGAGATATGAAGATATATCAAGCCACAGAAGGGACCCCACCCTGCACAGAGCTCATATTCAGGGAACAAGGGAAACAGGTGATAAATCAAAAAAAATTATGGTTGGAAATAATAGTGCCACAGAGAAAGACCAATGAAAGGGGGCGGATAGCAAAGGGCATTGCAGTTTTAACTGATCAGGAGAGCAAGAAGGTGACATTTGAACAAAAACATAAAGAGGCCAACATTCCATGCAGGTAGCTGGGGGAAGAGCCATCTGGGCAGAGGGCTCAGCACATGAAATGGAGAAATCAGCAAGGGACATACAGAACAGGGGGAGGCGGGAAGAGCTCCAGGACAGCAGGTGTCCCATCCAAAGAGTATTTCAAGAAGAAAGGACTAATGATCTCAGATGTGGGCGGAAGTCAAATGATAGGATGTCTGGGAACAAACCACTGGGCTGAACAACAGGAAAGTCACTGGTGAGCCCAACACCAGCAACCTCGGTGAACACTTGACCAAAGCAAGTTAATAAAGGGTAGGAGATACGGTGTTGAATAGCAAGGAAAAGTTTCTCAAGTGGTTTTGACGGGAAAGGGAATGGTGTTGTGAAGGAAAAGCAGGGCTGAGCGAGGTGGTTGCTGACATTCTTTAAGGCATGAGAAGTAGCAGTACATTTGCAGGCGATGGGAGTCTTCCTGGTGGGGGAATCAATCCCTGGAGCCGTGAGCGATGGTGGCGTCAGTGCCCTTGACCAGGACAGTGAGTCTGAGGACAGGAGCAGGGTGGTCGTCACAGGGGTGCACCTGCCGGCTGCAGGGAGATGCACAAGCTTGTGAGAGCTCGCCTGTGATAATTTCTGTTTTCTGTGACGTGGGAGCCAAGTCAGCAAGAGAGAGGAGGGAGTAGGTACTGGAGTGATGTGTATCACGCTTTCTGTGTGTCAGCATCTGCACTGAGTGGGACAACATGACACGGTCTGAATATGCGCATGGACGTCTCCGAGCTTGTCAAGTTCAGTGTGACTGAAGGAAACGGCTGGGGTGTTTTGTTCTGTCTTTGGCCACACAGATAGTTTCAGGGGTGCACTCAGATCCTTCAGGAAGAAATTTAGAGTTAGAAACTTTTGTGTCTTTTACACTTAGTGTAACTCCAGCCCTCGGGAGGCTGAGGCAGGAAAATCACGGTGAGTTCAAGGCCAGTCTAAAGTACTTAGCAAAGCCTGTCTCAAAAAAGAAAAAAGATTTTGTGGTATTAAATACTAAAGTAAAGACGGTAAGGAAAGGGTACAAGGGCAGAAGGATAAAAGGGTGGAGAGCAAAATGCTTCCAAAACCTCAGAATCTTCACTTCATGTAGAGCTGGCCCTGCTGCTTCACACCGACAGGCTGTGATTTAACACCCAGATCTCCTCCCAGGTCTTCTCATTAAAAACAAAACCCTACAGTGACTTCTTTGTAGCTACATAATACATCTGGTTTGAAAGGTCTAGAAAACCACATTTTATTATCTCAAAATACTCTAGCCCAGATGAAAAGCAGAAATGACGAATATTCTAGAAAAGTATCCCAGAACTGTAAGACCATGGTGTATAGTTTGATTTCTATTAAAGATTGGGCTCATTTTAGCATCAGCCTAATTATTTCCTTTTTTTTTGAGACAGGGTCTCGATATGCAGTTCAGGCTGGCCTTGAGCTTGCTTTGTAGCCCAGGCTGGTCTTGAACTCGTAAGGATCCTCCTGCCTCAGCCTCCTGAGTGCTGGGATAACAGGCGTGAGCCACCACGCCCGACCAGCCTAATTATTTCCATCCCTCAATTTCTTTGGTTCTCTTACCATCGGTAAGAGCACAGTAAGAACGGTTGTGTTAAAAATGTTTCATGGATTTGTAGACAAGATCTTCAAACTCATAGATAAATGGAGCTCCTGCTTAGAAAGTATCACGAATTTAAAGATGAGGACAGCAGAGCACTACACCAAATTCAGGGCTCTTCTGTAACTGAGGCCTCCAGTGATTGTCCAGGAAGCTTGGCCTGGCCAGGAGCCGTCTCTGTGATTTTAAGTCACTGGGGCGATCGCCTTGTGGGCAGGAGGGACTCCTGAGAAGTAATAGGGGTAAGGGAAGTGATCTTGGTACAAAATGAGTCCATAAACACTGGAACCCCAGCAGCAAGGCAGGTTTCTCTGGAGACTTTGACTTCCTCTGAATGTTAGACTTCCCCTCCAGGTTATTTCCCTGAACCTGCCTCAACCCGTGCAGGTATGAGAAAAGGATCAGTGTGATTCGTCCTGGAACCACATCCCTAGGATCTCATGGCCCTACGGTAAATCTACTGTGAAGAATTTTCTAATGCTTTCTGAGCCCTTAGGAAGAATTTTTCTCTCCTCTTCAACAGAGAAGCAAAAATAAACTAATTTTTTTCTCTACTTACCTGGATAACCTTTGGATGTCACATTATTACATCCCTACAGACTTAGAAGGACAGAATTGACTTAAAAGAGCGTTTATGAATTGAAATCTCCTCACTACACAGACAGAAATAATAAGAAAAACAAACTAGGCAGACAGTACGTATTATTGTAAGGCAATACACCATACAATATAATATACATACGGTGCTTGATATGACCAAGGGCATAAATTTATGTGTGGCATTAAATGGTATTTTGGGTTCCCCCACATAGTACATTGTTCAAGAAATTAATCTTTAGAAATGGGGTCCCAAATTAATATGCTTACAAAAGTTTTTATACATAAAACCACCAGTGGGTCCAATGAATTTCACTATTTTTCATTTTGTAAAGTTTAATTTATACATATAAAAACACAATAGATAATATCATATGGACTTATAATAAGATGTTTGATGAAAATTCATAAAGTAATGAAAAGATGTGGTAGCAAGATTGAAATAGTTACTTTGGTTCTTAGTAATCTTGTTATGAGTATTATCATTTCAATGATGAATCATGCATATGCATGCAGCATTAGCACAATTGAACATAATTCGAAGTTTTATTTTGCTAAATTTGAGTGATTTTAAAGTCTGATAGCTACTGAACATTGACAAGGAACTTTAAAACATTTTTTTCTCCTTACACACTGATTTGTGCCTTGATTATAAGTTCTTTACCTTTTATTTCGGTGATCTTCATAAGTATACTTTTATTTTATTTATAGGATTCCAAAATATTTGTTTTGACATAATTTTACAGTAAGATTTTAGCTCCACCAGATATAATATCAGATATTTTGGGTCATCGAAATTGAGATTACTCATTAAATGTAAGATTGTCTCCCACATCATGTAATTAGAAAATAATGTTTTGCATCTGTTTAGCATTTTGTAGTTTACAAAGGACATGACACGTGCTCTCATGTCCTCCTTCGATCACCCTCGTTTTATGATGAAGGTTGGAGAGGCTGAGTAAGTTTGTAAATGATGACACAGCTTGACTTCAGTCTTCTAACTCAGTATTCTTGCGTTTTTTTTATACTACACTGTTTTCCTGACTATGTTCCTGACTTGGAGAGTATGATAATGTCCTAGTCTAAATTGAAGGGAATGCAATGCCAAAATGCTAATTAGGCCTTTTGAATTTATTAGTGATAGCAGGAGGAACTGTAGCCAAGCACGAACCCTTCTTCTGAAGCATCAGCAGCTAGCTTGAGCTCAAATGGGGTCTACAATTAAAATGTATAATTACATGTGATGCTACTAAAATGGTTGTATGTTTATATGATGAAAGAGCTCCACCAAGTTTCTTAGATGTAGTGTAAGTAAGTTCTTTAAACTCTATCTGTCCACAACTCATGTGAGATTCTCTAGATGTTTTACTGGGAAGCCTCTTCAGCTCAGACCATCATGTTATGTCCTACCCACCTGCCTTCTTACGTTACAGGAAAATTAATTCACTGCCCCCGCGGTACTATTTAGTCGCTTGTGTCAGGTAGAATAAAACCTCATGTTCGAAGAAATTTTGTATAGTGAAGCATCTTCAACTAGTAGCCAATAAAGGCTCTGAGATATGAGAAATATATTTTGTGTGATGTAAGCGATTTCTAAAGGACAGGGTTTTACTTGGGATGTAAATTGGTTTCTTTGAGAAAAGAGTTTAGCTAGTGCAAAAGCACAGTATGTGTTTTTCTAAGAAAAGAGATTCTTTCAATCTCTTCCACTAGTCCACATCTTACTCATCTCTTGAATTTCTTGCACATAACAACTTTGTAAATATTTGTTGCATAGAAGAAAAATAATTTTTCCTGTTCTTGAATCTGTATGTGGATTGCAACACTGACTCACTCTCTGGATTTTATTTCAATTATGGAGTGCCACTGGTAGTTTTATTATGGAATAACATGCAAGATCTGTAAGAATGGCATTGTTTTCTTGCTTGTGCCATTGAATTCTGAACACTTTTCAGAATGCATAATTACTAGATTTTGGGCACCAGCATCACTCATTGGATTGAAATTTTGCAAACTGATTTTTACCTAAAGACTCCTCAGGCTGAAAATGTTGGAAGATAAATGTAGGAACGTTAAAAATTGAACAGTTTATTTGAGCATGCAATGGCGAGCATACGACCA